AGTTTATAATATTTTATTTTTTCAACTTCCAAAGCATATACAAACACTATCGAAATTTCTTAGTTATGGGCGATCAAGACCAGATGTCAATAATCCTATTTATGAGGAACATTATTTGGCTAGTGATGATGACAATGGATTGAAGAAGATTTCGATTTTCCTGATAATGATACACTATATGATGGCGGATTTCAAATAGGAGAAAGCAGTAATCCTAATTTAGGTGAGTTTTTTAATATATTGTTCAATTTTTCATTGTATTTCAGATTCTATGTTTTAACAAACAAGTTTAATGTTAAATGTTAATATTTTCATCGATGACATACAGAGGACGCAAATCATGCAGAAGACGAAAATCACTTCGTTGATGAAGATACAGAGGTTAATATTGATTTCAGTGAAGGTACTAAAATGAGTTCAGGATATTGAAATTTTTACAGGAAAAATAAATTTATTTTAGTATAATATTTATATAATTCTTTCAGAATAATTTTTGAATATCTATGTTTAAACAGGACAACCACATGTTACACATGATTACGTTTCTCCTGGTGGCACTTTGTATTGGACCCCGATTGTTTCAGACAATATCAAACCAAAACTTACATCAAAATTAAATATTTGAATCATGTAAGTCAGAAAGTAACATGTATAGAAACTATGCATTAGAATCTGGTTTTGATGTCAGGCTTGGAAGAGTACAAAAAAACGAAAAAATGGGATTATTACAAATAGACATCTTGTATGCAATCGGGAAGGTAATCCAAATACTAGTAAAGTAGATACTCTGGACATTCAGCATAAAAGACTCAAAGAAGGAAAGATTTATTTAGGAGGAATTGTAAAGCGAAAGTTGTTTTAGAAATAATTCTCGGTACTCTTACATATGTCGTGAGTGATTTTGTCGAGCAACATAATCACGAGTTGTTTAGCAAGAGCAATATCTACTTATCTCGTTCAAAGAGAAAACTTGACTATTCCCAGGAAATTTTTATTCATAATTTGTCAAAACAAAATATTGGTCCTGTAAAAGCACATAGACTGTATAGTGCTCTTCAGGTCGGTCCTTCTGTTCGAGGTGGATTGGGTTTCTGATTTCAAGAATGCTAGGAGAAATCTTAATTGTTACATAGGTGGGAGGGACGCGAAATTCTTGTTGACAAGATGAATGACAGGACGAAAAATGTCCCATCATTTACTTTTGAGTATAAAGTGTTGAACAAAAGATTGAATGCTTTATTCTGGGCTGACGAAACAGCAAAGTATAACTACAACTCTTTCGGAGACGTTCTATCACTCGATGCCACATTCAGCATGAATAAGTATTTCTAACCTTTAATACCTTTACAATAACAATTTCATTGTTTTCATTTATGTAAGCTAATATTTTATTTTCAAAATAGGTATGATATGGTTTTTGTACCATTCACTGGCATCGATAACCACAAAAAGTGTGTAACATTTGGTGCTGGACTTTTAAGTAAGAAGATGGAGTTTCTTATGAATGGTTGCTTAGGGTTTTTTGAAAGCTTTTAGAAAACAACCTCAATTGGTTATATCTGACCAAGATCCAGCTTTGAAAAAAGCTATAGATAAGGTTTTCCCGTTTGCACATCATAGGTTATGTATGTGGCATATAACAAAGAAGTTGCCAAATAAGGTATGCATCAAATGAATATTATTCTTACTTTATGTTATGATTTTTCAATTATTTTCTCATATTCTAACATAATCAATTACTTTGTTAATAAGAAACTCCATCTTCTTTACTTTATGTTATGATTCTAACAGAATCAATTGCTTTGTTAATAAGAAACTCCATCTTCTTTACTTTATGTTATGATTCTAACAGAATCAATTGCTTTGTTAATAAGAAACGAATATTATTCTTACTTTATGTTATGATTCTACAATTATTTTCTCATATTATAACAGGGAACTTCGAAATTTACTTTAACTATTACTATACTCATCCTCATGAAATTTAATTTTATACAGATTTTATCAATTGAAGATGCAGCCACCAATCAAAAATTTTGAAAGCGTTTTCACTCTATAATTTGGAATTCTAAGCTGGAACCACATGAATTCGAGAATGTATGGCGTATGATGTTGGATGAGTTTAAAATTACAGATAACAGTTGGCTGAATACTATGTATGGTTTGCGAACATCTTGGATCCCTGCATTTTTCAAGCACATTCCAATGTCTGGTCTTATGCGAACTACATCACTGTCTGAAAGTCAGAATTGGTCATTTCAAACCACCACCTTAACCGGTTCTTATCTTATCATGTTTATGATGACATTTGAATCAGTCATGGAACGACAAAGACATAACCAAATTCTAAATGATTTTAATACTGCCACCACTTTTCCTAAATTCATTACCCGTAGTCCGAATGAACCTCATGCTTCAAATGTATACACGCGCAAGATTTTATATCAGGTTCAGAAAGAGATATCAAGAGCTGAAGATAATTGTTTCCAAAAAAATGTGATATCTTCCAACGGTGTTGACACAATTATTGTTTTGGAGAAAAAAAACAACATAACCACTAGGCAAACAAATGATGTCGATGTGGATGACAAAGATGAGGAATACAATTACGATTGTCTATAAGGGATACTGAATACCACGGTATATTGTTTTCACTTTAATTGTCATTCTTTCATTCGAATTAAAACACTAAAAACTTACAACTTTAACATACTCACTAATCATCTTATATATTACAGGTCACACACTCAACCAAAGATGGTTCATTCGGATGTACTTGTATGCATTTTGAACATGTAGGGATTTTATGCAGACACATATTATGTGTTTAAGTTTTATGGCATTGAACAAATTCCTGAAAAGTACATTTTGAAACGTTGGCGTAGGGATGTTATTCCAACAGAATTACTGAAAAGATGCTTCAATAGTTCTTTTGACGATTCTAATTCCGACATGACTGCCATTGATATTTTTTCAACCGTTGACCGTTGTGTGTCTTTTGTAAGCCATGATGCAGCTAAGTTAAAGTTATACCTAGACGAGCAGAATAAGTTGAAAAAAAAATTCGTAGACGATTGTCCAACTAATGATTTACCGAACAGAGCAGAACAGTTCAAGAAGCTTCTAGGCATAGTATGTCCTGATGTAGTATCTGATGTTAGCGACATTCAAAATCCTACAGATATTCGTAACAAAGGATCCGGTAGTCGTGGGAAAAGATTAAAATCTACAAAAGAGATGATTGAGAAAGAAAACTCGAAAGCTAAGAGGAAGTGTGCTACATGTCAACAGATGGTTCATCATGACAAAAGAAATTGTCCTTTAAAGAACGCCGAGAAATAATTTCCTTGATTATTTTTTTTATTGGTTTTAGTAGAAGGACCTTTCATTTTAATTTTGTCGATTCACATTCAATGTTATCTTTTTTGTCATTTAATAAAGCATTCACCTTCATTGCTAGTGACGATGACATTGTAAATTAATCTAACAATATTTATATTTTCTTATTACAATATTCATTCCTCATTTGTATAAACTCTTTTTTTCCTTACTTACAGCAAGTATACACAACTTTTATCAAACATTTTAAGATTTATTTTTATTTCAACATAAAATGCGTTTACCGCTTATGGGGAGGATACAAACAAGTGTACAACTTAATATATACAATCATAGTTCATATGTTTCTTTCAAAAATATATATACTACGTAAAGAATTTCATCCAAAATAAGTTTATTTTAAAACCTAATTTTACATTCTACATCCAACTCGCATACAAGTATAAATATCTGATAGAATAATAACCATATAAACTATATCTATCAGCATAAACAAATGCAAATACCGCCCGACACACAACATAAGAAGTCGATGCACTTGACTTCATATTCAAAAACATAACCATTCCAAAAGAAGTTTATATTTTGATTTTTTATGCATTAGACATGTACGCACATATACGTAATTTAAAAAAGGGGACGTATACCTAAAAAAAATACATAACATATTCGCACCAGAATGTAACATTTACTATATTATATCAGCATCAAAACAACTATTATAAAACAGTACAGTCACACAAACATGAGTACAACCTTGCATATATTTACAACATTATAACAAAAAATACAGCAACAATACATTAGCAACAACAACTTGCAGTATATTTAAAAACATCGCATAATTTAATTCTAAATTTATTCATAAGCAGCCCATGAAAAAAACTGCTTATTAAACTAATTCCCATTCAACCAGAATTGCTTTCACAACCACAACATCGTCATCCCAGAAATTAAACAACGCATCAACACAACCTTTATATCAAAATAAGAATCCATTACAAGACAAAGTACATTTTCAAACATCTAACATAATGCAATAGTGTATGTTTAACAACCACAAAAAAAGGTTCAGCTATGCCATATCAATATTTATCTTAAAAACACCAAACTACCACTTCAAGTTCTTACCTACGACCCATTGTTTTTCTTTTTTTTTCTTCCTATTTTCAGCTGACTGATGAAGAAGCATATCTTATAACAAAAAATACATCAACACATACATTATCAACAACAACCTTGCATTACATTTAAAAAATCTTCATAATTTAATTCTAAATTTTATTCATAAGCAGCCCATGAAAAAACTGCTTTTAAACTAATCCCATTCAACCAGAATTGCTTTTCACAAACCACAACATCGTCATCCCAGAAAGAAACACGCATCAACACAACCTTTATATCAAAATTAATAATCCATTACAAGACAAAGTACCTTTTCAAACATCTAACATAATGCATAATAGTATTTTAACAACCACAAAAAAAAAGGTTCAACTAATGCCATATCAATATTTATCTTAAAAACACCAAACTACCACTTCAAGTTCTTACCTACGACCCCTTGTTTTTCTTTTTTCTTCCTATTTTCAGCTGACTGATGAAGAAGCATATCTTGTTCCAAAATATCCAGCTTCCGAAACGCTTCAAAATCTTTAACTACCATAGTCTTAAACTTATTGAACTCAGCTGCCAACAATCTTGCCATGTATTTCATCCGTAACTAAATTATAGCATTCATATCACCATGCATTTTACCTGTAAGACCACACTCCCAACGCCCTTCATTTTCCCCCATGTAACTTTCCATATGCCTCATGAGGTAGATTCCACATTCTGTTCCAGCTTTTTCTACTTGCCAATATATGTTCATCACCCGTCCCGCCTTAAAAGTTAAGGATTTTGCCATTGGATGATGTTGTGATGTCAAGTAGTTGCAAAACAGTTTTTTCTGTCATTAAATACAACATATACATCAGACATAGTTTTATGACATACTTTAGAATGAAAACCTGGTGATCAGAATTTTAGTGATTATCTTACCACCAGGTTTGGTATCATACCATACTTTCTTTCCGAAGTTCCTGTTCTCTTTACATGATCTACTATGTAGTATAAACTTGATCTCAGATCAAAGATGAGTAAATAATACTTTCCATCATCAACTATTGGGAAGAAAACCTTGTACACATTAAAAAAAGAAGTTACTTTAATATTAAGTGATGCGATAAATATTACATTTACTACATAAACTTACAAGGGCAACATCTCTGAAACTTGGCTTGACATCAAATTTATTAATGAAGATTCGCAATAGAGTAGCAAAAAGCCTACATTTCAGATCTTCCGACTTTAATTCATTCAATATCTCTTATGTCTGTAAAAACCCACATCAACAACAATATTAACTTCTACAAAAATAAATTTGAATTTACAATTAATTTAAAAAATAAATTAATACCACAATAGTTGTATCGAAGAAAAATCTTGAAAGCGATGATTCATCCTTGTAGTTCTCCATTTTATTCAAAAACGCAGCCCAACAATCAATTACTCTAGAATGCAAAAACATCCCTTGATTGAATTGATATGCAAAACCCTGGTGCAGCAGATGACCTGTTCCAATGTCCCAAATCTCATCCCCGTGACAAAAATTATATATAAAATCAATCTAAATACATTCACATTTATATTCTAAAAATATAATATATGAGTCATATATATACGAACCCTTCATCTCTATTAGATGCAAAAACTGAATTGCATATCCCTGTTTCATCCTTAGTCAGTTTATCCCCAACCTTAAAAATTCTTTCAATATAGGGCGAATGAAATATTTTTGCCTTTTTAGGGATACGTTTTTCCCTTTTGTCATTATCATCATCTTCTGCAGCCTTATCAACAGCTTCTCCTATATTTCTTCCAACCACCTTTTCCCCACTGATTCCAGACATTAGTTGTTTCCTTCTATACACCTGTAACTCGGTTTCATCCAACAACTTAACCATTTCCTCATTCACCCCTGGAAGACGATGAAACTGAGTCATTGTTAAAAAATTGGTATCAACATGTGTACTATAATTTACTTCTTTTTCTACATTAACTTCAGTAACTATCAATCCTCGAACAGGTGAACTATTTACTTCACCGCCATCACCTACATCATTCATATTCAACTCATTACAACACTCAGGCTCATGCACTTTTTTTGTTACTTGCCCCTTCTTGCACTTCCTTGAAAAGCTCATTCATCTTTTCCATCCACTCATTCAACACCACACTATCAGGGAATTTTTCCAAACCATCCTTCAACGCAACCTCCATAGTACTTTTCTCTGTTAGAATTACCCCATAACTATGTTCTATAACAGCAGCGTATGCCTGCAATACATATTATTAATTATTAATTACATTACAAGAATATTTCACCATCTTGAATATTATAAATGTATAGACAAAATAGAAGTATTCCACAGATTGCAATTTATATTCTACCATAATATATATGCAAATATTAATTACAGTAATTACAGATTTAATAAGTATCCATAAAGAAACATAATATTACCTCCTCATCACCAAAATCCCTCTTAAAGTTGAGCAATTGTTGTTCTTCACCTCCTGTTTCATCCCTTTGTATCGACATCATCATGCTCATCCCGAAATTGCCTCCCGAACCCTTCCAAACTGATTTCCAATTGTTGAATCTCTAATAATTTAGCACCATTAATATGCCCAATAAAAGGAAGCCTTTTATCTATCTTGATAGAATACTTCATGTTATACACGTACACCAACTACAAAAAACAATAACTTAATTAATACATCAATAATAAATCAATATCAAATCTATATTTTCATATAACACTATGTCAAACTTACAATCAGGAGTGTAATAGGACCACTGTAGTAGCTTGATTTGTCATCCCTTTTCCATAATTTTTTCCTTGATCCCAAAAAATCAAGCATATACTTACACCAATTTAACTTTGAAAAGTCTTCTACCAACACCAACTTCCTTACCACTTTTATTTGATTTGTTCCCATCAACATTGACTCTATAAAGTTGTTAACAAAAAGGGTTAAAAAAATTAAGCCTAAACATCAAAGTATCCTTTGTTGTAGCCTGAATCCTTCTTAAAATACTCCCCACCATTGAACTTATCACAGCTATATTGTCCCCTCCATTCTTCCAGAATTTGATTGTCATTATCACACAACGGCAAGTCGTTGATGTCTTCTCCACCAATTGGCAAACCCATCATATCATGCACTGTCTGTTCTTTTATCTCAATAACAGAGTTTTGTAGGACAAGTCTTTTACTATCGGCATCATACACATCTAAAAGATAATAGCTTAGTTGCCCCGGATAACTTGTAATATTCACTTGCAGAATTGATCCAAAACCCATTCTCAAAACTGTTTGTTTTTGTTATGGTGACATCCCCATAACAGCTGCAGTGATGTTATCACATTTCATTCTGGTTGGAAGGTATCTTAAACCAGGTGGATATTCCTTATTTGTTTTCCTAACATTATCTTCCTGTTCCTCTTTGACAGATCCATCAATTCCCTTATTCTTTAATTTTTTTACAATTGGAACTCTATCATTTTTCCTCTTTGACCTTACCTCTCTTTCCAAAAGTAATACATTTAAAGGTTTAGGACTTTTCTTTTCTTCAATTGATTTATCAAGCTTTTTCTTTGACCTTCTTTCTCGTCTCACATGTTGTTCTTCTTCATGTACTTGTTCTGCTACAACACACAATAAATAATATAATGTTTAGTATAAGATATTAGATATTAATTTTTTAAAATATAAGATATTCTTTATATTCTAACAGAATACCACTTAACTTCAATAACTTATATTCATACATACATTCACATTTTACTAGAATTGTCTTCAACAAACTACAAAAACATCATAAGCTTTAGGATTGAAACAGAGCCCAATGTACATGTTAGATTTTAGCTCATACTAATATCTTAACAACATTTACATAACAAATACTACACATATTATACAACTTGTTTCAATTATAACAGAATAAAGGAAACATTAACAAAAAAACACACTCTTTAAACTCTATCAGATGATATTACATACAAATTATAAGGGTTTGTATAAAAAATTAGATATTAATGTTTTAAAATATAAGATATTCCTTATATTCTAACAGAATAACACATAATTTCAATAACACACTCAACATACACACAAATTTCCCATTCAAACAGAATACAAAAAAAAAAACATTTTGCAAAAAATATAGTAGAATATATGCAATTCTAACAGAATATAAAATATTCTACAAAAACACTTCATAAATTTCATTTTGAAACATAACCGACTGCATATTGAAATACTAATATTCTATTCTACAAAAATAGTCTACAAATTAATATTCTATCAGAATCATATACATTTAAATTTCAATTCTACCAGACTCATATACATTTTTAATTCAAGCCATATAATCCACTATCAATGTGGACAGTCATACTCATATACAACATTCTATTCTTCTTGAATTTTACACATATCAACTTTATCAATATCTAACAACTCTGAATGTTTCAGTTTAAGGTCATTAATCATCTATAACCTTTGATTCCATTAGAATATAAAATATTTATACCTTACTACTTAACTACTTATTTATACAACTTTTCATTACAATTTTAGCTAATAAATCAACAAACAAAATTCTAGGAGAATAACAAAAAACTTTAAGTTTATATGAATAGAACATTCTGGCAGAAGGGAATTTTTTTTTCAAATCATACTGTAATGAAGAATACTTTTTCTTACTATACTACAAAAAAAATGAATCATTCTTCTCCCAAACCATAAATCATACACACATAACTGAATAAACATCATATAACACAAAAAAATTGTTACCTTCAGGTTCGGCAACGAAATCATCATCGTCATCTTCAAGATTCAAGGCCGTTTCTGATGTGTTCTTGAACTTTGACTTGAACGAAGTGGATCGTGTACTCCTCATTCTTTTCGAATACCGTTCACAGAAGCCCCCAAATGTCGATTCCGTCTACTAGGGTTAAGTGTCGATATTTATATGAAAAAACTTCATAGGATCTTCCGATTTTGAAGATTGATTACAAGAAATCAGAATGTTTTTCAACCTCCGAAGGAATTGGGTTTTTGATTTTGTGAGTATGCGAGATATTTGGGATTATCGGTTGATCACTTCCATACTTATCCTCCGTTTCCTAATCAAATGACGACACAATGTACCATTCTACCCTTCCTTGACCGGTCACTTAATGAAATCCCTTTAATTTGATTACTTTTCTATTTATTTTAAAAAGAAACTCACTTTCTTATTTTACCACAAATGATTGGACTAGAATCCTTTACACAGACACATAATACTTAGCAAAAATAATATAACCTAACCATATATATATATATATATATATATATAATATATATAACTGATTTAAGACAAAATTACATAAATGGTCCATGTGGTTTACTAAAAGTCACAATTTCAGTCTCTGCAAATTTATTTATACAAATGGTATCTATGGTTTCTAAACTTTCATGAATAGTCATTGTGGTTTCTAAAACTTGCACCAATGGTCTCCGATCTACATGAAATGACTTCTTTACCGTTTCTTAATTTCTTTTATATTTTTTCTTATACTTAATTTATTTACAAAAAATAAAAAAAGGAAGCCCCACCCCTACTTCTTTCTTTCCCATTCTCTATCCGGCTAACGCCTATATTTTGTTTCTTTCCCCGTCGACTTCTCTAATCCATCCCCAAATGGCCGCTCCTAAACAACCTCGGTGATCAAATCTATAACCAACTCTTTAGCCTCTATAATGGTGCCCAATTCATCAACAACCCATTTCCAATTGGTGGGTGCAGGCATCAATGGCTACCAAAAAATGACATAAGTTTAATATTTGAACCGGAAAATTCATACATAAAACTAGAAATCGACACCTACCAACTAATTTCATACAATAATGGAAAATCAAGTGAACTATGTTCAATACCTATGACCAAATCAGAAATGGTTATGAATGATCTTGAAATTTAGAAAAGGAAAAAAGGTACTTAACGGTGATGGATGAGTTGAGATGAACGCAACACGAAATCAACTCCGGCGAAGTTCTGATTTCATATTTCCCATATTTTCCTCCAGATTTAAGTACCAAGTTGAATTTCCCCATCTCGTAGAGGTAATATGATTTCAGTTCTAATTTGGGGGTGACGACAGCTCACCCAATATTGGAGAAGGCAACAAATTAGTTTGGTTCAATGGCGAAGGTAGTTTTCTTGGTGTTTTTCTTTTTGAATCGAATAGAGCTCAAAATCATCTTCGTTTTGTGATAACAACCATATTCACAGGTGGATTTTATTTACTAAATCCCCTATTCTTGTTTTTTTAAGGAAAATAAGATGCAATTGAAGATTCTTATGCACATGATGGATTCAATGAGGATATTAAAGCAAGATATGAAAAAGATGAAGTAGATGATAATGATGTTCATGTCGTGGTCTTTGTTGAAGATGATGATTCAAGAAAGAGTGATGATGCTCAAGATATTTGTTTTTATCTTCTGGCTTCTCCTTCTACGAGCATCATTCTTATTTGGTCAATTCTTTCATTGAGGAAATTAAATGGAGTTTTTACAAGCATTACCAAACTAACCCAATAACTCGATCGTTGTTTCTTAGTTCGGGTAATGCCAATATTTATGAGCTCATATATTCTCTAAGGTATGATTTGGTTTATTCCCCGCTTCTGACCACTAATTTATTATTGTCAATACTATTTTCGACTCTATCTATGATGTCTCCGATTATGATTGGAAATTCGTCACTAGCTCTTGAGATGGACTCTAAAAAAATATGTGATTGAGAGAAAACAATGGAGATGGAGGTTGTGAGCAACGTTGATGCACATTGGTTCTCTTCCACCATCGCTGACTTCGTTGTATGGACCAAGCCCGATCAAAGAGGATGAGGATATAAAAGGGAGAGAGAGAGAGAGAGAGGTGGGGATGCTGTAAGGGTATGATGTTTTTTTTATTTTTTATTTTTTTATATTGCATTAAAACAAAAATAATTGATAAAGAAAATAAAAAAAGGTAAATAAGTCTTTTTACATGGACCAGGACCAACCATGCAAGTTTTGTAAACCACATAGATCGTGTTTGTAAAAAAAAATAGCAAGGTATGAGTTTTGAACTTTGATAAACCATATAGACCATTTATGCAAGGTTGTAGAACTCGCTACTCGGTGCTTGCTCGGCCGATTGCCGAGTAGCGAGTACTCGGGAGTACTCAGATTCGGTAATTCATGTAAAAATATTTTTAGGAAATTATATATGTCAAAATCATAAGTTAAAAATCATAATTTGATTGAAATATATAACAAAATTAGATACATGTGAATACATAAAAACTGAAATATACATAATTGTCTCACTTCGTGAATAATTACTGAAAATTTAAGATATATATATATATATATATATATATATATATATATATGCAGTAATAATCACATGTGTGTTAAATATTAAATCATTAAGTGTATTATACATATTAATCTTGAAATTCTTTAATTTTTTTTTTCTCTTTTTATGACAATTTTGACCATTT